GCTAATTAAAGTAGAAGCCTGATCGAAGTTTCCTTGATGGCAGTGGACAATTGCCATGTTGTTATACGTTTCACCAAAAATTGGATGATTATCATCAAGTTTGGACGAGATCAGTAATTCGTTATAACTGTCAATAGCTTTACTATACTCGCCTTGATCATCATAAGTACTTGCAATGTGATTATAGGATACAGCAGCTAAGTCTTCTCTATCGATCATAAGGCTTAAATGGAGAGAGCGTTGAAAATTTTCAAGCGCGCTACTAAACTTTCCGAGCTTAATACATGCAAATCCCGCTGAGGCAAAATCTTTAGTAATAATTTCATCACGTTCATTTTTAAGCCACAATGATCTGTTTTCAATTATCATAGAATACTGTGCAAGAGCCTTATCATACTTGCCCTGAAGATAATAAATATGTCCAATAATTCGCGCTGAATTAATAGTCTCTTCATTATCAATGTCGTACGCCTTATTTTTGACTTCTAATGATTGGGAATAATTTTCCAGTGCACGACTTAAATCACCTTCCAGTCTTTTTATATCGCCTCTTCTCTTTATACAACGAGTTAGCGTAAGATTATTCAATACGTTATATGTATTAGCCCACTCATAGGCTTTGCTACACCATTGATCAGCCTTAGTGAATTCTTTGCGTTGAATATGCATGTAGGAAACGCGTAGATAAATATCACATAACTTCTCATAATCAAAAGAAATATGGGATAAAACTACCATTTCTTCAATATTCGGGGCAAGGCGTTCCTCTCCACTTTTCAGATCATCTTCATATAGTAATTGAGCCTGTTGAGCAAGGATTGAATCATCAATCAAATTAGACGTATCCTGTTCGGTACTCTTGCTTTTCCGATTAAATATGTCCAATAGCCTTTTTATAGCGTGCATTTCTCAGATGATAAAACAACAAAATCTGGAGTCGATACGATAAGTAGATTCTCAATTCTACAATTTCAATTTTATAACTCTTCTTTAAATAAAACCACTCTAACTGTTCTAATTTGAAAGATTCAGTCCTTCTAGTAGTTCAATGAATTCAAAGTTTCTTGTCAGCCCAGATTACGCTTATTGGCACAATTACTCTTCTAGAATAAGGAAATAGCAACCTATTGACGATATATGGATCGATTAATAGCCTTATTGGAGTAATGAGTTTCGTAATTGGCATTTGCAAGGTGCACAATCTTAACTGCCTGCTGCTGATTAACGGAGGATTCCTGCTCTGTTTTGACTCATATTTCAGTTTCGGGGATTAAATCCTGATTAATAAGTATGCATTAATTATCCATCATGTTCAAATTAAGGGAAAATTAACCAATTAAAAGATAACTATGCAAGTTTATTAATATAAAAGAAGAGGCCACGTTATATGCATAGGCAGCCGCAGTCTGTATAGTATATAATTTTCGCTGTACCCACATTACAAGTATTATAGAAAACCTCATTATCTTATGCGCTCAAGTTGAACACTCACTTTCTGCAGTTCCTATTGACGCTAAGATCTCCGTAGAGTATAAGTTACCTTCTGCGTTCGAATTTTTTACCTTCGTTAATAAATATAGCTAGCTTAGTAACTGTATCCTTTTAAAGAGGAGTGCTGCAGTGCTCACACTAGAGCTTCACATAAAAGGTGTAAACTATCCTGTATTTGAGATGTTAATACTGAAGTGTGTAGTAAGTAAGGAGTTAAGATTGTTAACGCGGAAATGTATATAAGCGAGTAGCTAAGTACGAATAAATCTTATATTAGTCCTAAGCAATCTGTAGAAACATTAGCAGATTACGTGCAAAGGTACATTTGCTCAAAAGTGAGATAGGATTACTCAATTAAGATCAATTGATACAAGCTAGAACTATTTCTCTCGTTGGCGTTTGAGACTGACTAGCGCATTCCTTTTCGCCATGGAATATAGGTAGCATAACATTAGAAGGTTGTGGCGTTAAAGAATTATCAGACTAGTATACAATATTTTATAATCCCACAATCGATTACAAAATTACCATTCATTGTGCAGCTGAAGCTATTTGTCCATTGTAAGTAGACATATAATATAATCTGTCAATATAGATATATTGGCTGTGAATAGCCTGAGCTTAACACCAGTCAATTTTAATGATCATCTTGTATCTCCATCCAATGAATTGTACACATTAACTGATTTCATCTTGAATAGCTTTTGTGTTCACACTTATAGGTATAGTATCGTACTAAAATATTATTTCATCGCTTTAATCTTGATGGCCGTTGCTAGAACAATGATTGCCTCAAAATTCAATATTTTGGGCATGAAAAAGTCTATCTATGCTGCACTGTATTTTTTTCCTATCTTAATCGTTACACAAGCCGTTCTAGGTGGAGTACTTTGTAAGTCAATTGCTTCGGGGATTGGTTTATTGAACGTCTATGTGTTTTCTACTGTCTTATCAACGTTGCTAATGAAACTATCATTGATATCCTAGATTTTGGTTTTCCATACATTGTAATAGTAACAGCAACGCTTACAACTGCTTATACCTTAGCTGGCAATAACGTCAGCGTAAGTATCGAGAAAGTAGAAATCATTTAAAACAGAATGAAAATAACATAGCGTACCATTAGTAACCTTTAATAGCATGGACGCAGTAAAAGGATGATCGTTTCTCTGATTGTAAAATGAAATATCCAAAATAATTTAATTATACTATATCGATAGGTAATCGTTCATAAGATTATAACAGATCTTGTTTAATTTATTCCCATTATTTCTAGTCTTTCTGGTCTGGATGTTATCAAAAGTAAGCGATTAACCATCATTACTCTGATGCACTGGCTGGCTCTTGCCATAGGCGTTGCTGCTGCAACCAATGGACTAAAAAACCCACCTATTGCAGCTCAAGTGCTGTTAGGATTAATTCCTCTACCGCTTGTATTTTATATTATTACGTATAAGTTTACGAATCCCCAACGAAGTGGCCTTATTGGCACACCTGAAAGATGGTATTAATATTTATAGTTGAAAAATCAATTTAGGATAGCAAAAGTCAACGAATCAGCCGCTTCTAACAATTAGCTATTTGAAAGGATCAACATTACGTGATTTGATAGTTATCTTGTGTTAGCAATCAAGATTTAACATGTCTCTACGTAATTTACCGACAGTAATCCTATATTCGTTCTACCGATATTGTTGACAATATGAGAATATTTTATTTTTTTACTACAGCAGGTCTGTTAATAAACTGACAAGATGTGTGCTATAGCTACTTTCTTATCGTTTATTTCAGTCATGGCTTTTACGGTGCCATTTTACTATATTGAAGGATGAACTATAACACTTGCTTCTATTTTAAAATTTTTTAATTTCATTTAAGATATGTCGCTGTGACAAGCAGCATCGATTGCTCAAGTTATTTTGGCTCTTACGGTTATACACTTTTACCTTATAATCCGTAGTGTAAAATAGAAACAACGAAATGTTGATATGCAATATTTACATAAACTATTCGAAATTGCCTTTTGCTAGATTAAGTGGCTTTATCTAGTAATACTGCGTTTTTTTCATCTTATTTTGAGACAATGTCAATGTTGCATAGTAATCAATTGCTTTGTGTTATGCAAACATTTCTACAATTACAAGAGATACGTACATGAATAAGAAACTATATTCCTATGATAATCCAATAATTATAAATCTGGGATAAACTTTGGTATCTGTATTAGATAGATTTCTTTCGTACTAAATACAGGATTTCTTTCAAATGTTGAATAGGATGCTTTATTTTGTTATGGCTGCTTCGCTAATCAATACTAGATCATCGATGTATCACGTTTTTCAGCAAGATTTTGTTGCCATTGGCAGTATGATTAAAACTGCTTGTTAATGTATAAATTTAGCGTTGACAACACGTATTACAGTAATGCTAGAGCTGAATTATATTTAATAAAAAAGGTTTCTAATATAAAATGTAGTAAGATTGACTGATTGCGACAATATTATGAAAGATGCAATAGATTGAATATTTATCCGATAATAGTATGTGCTCACCTAACAGCAGTTTTATTGCACAGAAGACATACCGTATACATTGTAAATAGTCTGTTTATTTGACAAGATCTTGCTAACCACCATGTGGTTACTACATTGTCTCTAGCAGCTTGTACATTATACAGTATTAACAGAAGCAAGTAGTAATTATGCGATTTGTTGTACTAGGACAAAGTACACTTAACAATCACTATTATCTGTTCGGTTATATCGATAATTATCCGCAGCTACCTTTACAATAAGTTAAGCTTAAATCAAGTTATTGTTCAAGTTTTCCTCAGCTTCAGTTGGAAGGTAATGAAAATCTGTTAGACTATTCATATTCAATCCACATTAAGGAATAAATGTTATACATGAATCGAAGACTTTAAGTACGATTGCAAACAACTATTAAGTCAATACTGTTTGGATGGAAAATAATCAAAAATCAACCTACGATACAGCATTTTGCGGATAATTCTACCGATTTAAATTAAGATTTTGTGTTTGTACTTTAATAGGCAAATTGCATTCTCTTCTATTTTCATAGACTAGTATGGTATATTTTCTATCTTCAAAGCTGTAAATGCTACCGATTTCTACCTCAGTTTGCGTTAGCTATAATAGTTACAGTGTTAGTGGTTCTCATATTATTTCATCACAGCTTGCACGCTGCTTCCTAGTAACTACCGCACTCTTACGCGAATTACATACTATAATAAAGTATCTGTTCGCTACTAAAGACATTTATGTCATTCTCTGAAATGGCAACTATTTCCACTTCAGATAGAGAATAACTGAAATACGACTTTGTAATGCTGATCTTGATTTGAAAGCATCGAGCATCCATGATAGTGTGCTCTTTACGTATTTCATCACTCATTTGTACAGCGATCAAAATTGTTAACCCTATCGAGTAGACAAATTGTGACTATTTTTCTCAAATCGTATATTTTGATTGTTGTTGAAAAGTAAAATATGGCCAATCAGACTAGCAATTCTACGATATTTGACGAGATTGAATCTATACGCAAAAAGGGCGTGAAATATCATGGCGAAGGCAATTATGGAGACGCATTATTTTATTTTCAGAAAGCTGTAACTCGAATCAAATCGATAGCGGAGAGTAGTGATAGTCGTCGTCAACTTAAATATTCTATTTATCTCGCTATGGCTCAATCTTACCTGGAAAAATATCAATTGATAGAAGCCAATGAATACAGTGGAAAAGCAGAAAAGTTAGCTAAGAAACTAGAAGAGGTCAAGATTTCTTATTGTTTCGATATCCAGGGCGACTGTAAACGACTTCAAAGTGATTTTATGGGTGCTTTGAGTGATTACAACAAATCACTTCAAATAAAATTAAAATCGTTAGGGAGTGAACATCTTAGTGTCTGTAAGTCCTATCAGAACATTGGCTTGGTCTATCAGAATCAAGGCAAGCGTGACGAGGCTTTAAAGGAATACAATAAATCATTAAGGATTAAACTGAAAATTCTTGAAAATAACGATCCAAGTATGGCTGTATTATATAACAGCATTGGACAAGCCTATCAAGACCTAGGCAAGTATGATGACGCTCTATCAATGTATAACAAATCACTCAAGATTAATCTAACACAACTTGGCGACAATCATCCAAGTATTGCTGATACATATCACAATATTGCAAGTGTCTATGATGATCAAGGCAAGTATGATGACGCTTTATCAATGTATAACAAGTCACTCAAGATTGATCTGACACAACTTGGCGACAATCATCCAAGTATTGCTGATACATATAACAACATTGCAAATGTCTATGATAATCAAGGCAAGTATGATGACGCTCTATCAATGTATAACAAGTCACTCAAGATTAAACTGATACAACTTGGCGACAATCATCCAAGTATTGCTAATACATATCACAACATTGCAAGTGTCTATTATCATCAAGGCAAGTATGATGACGCTTTATCAATGTATAACAAGTCACTCAAGATTGATCTGACACAACTTGGCGACAATCATCCAAGTATTGCTGATACATATCACAACATTGGAAATGTCTATAAAGATCAAGGCAAGTATGATGACGCTCTATCAATGTATAACAAGTCACTCAAGATTAAACTGACACAACTTGGCGACAATCATCCAAGTATTGCTGATACATATCACAACATTGGTCTTGTCTATGATGATCAAGGCAAGTATGATGACGCTTTATCAATGTATAACAAGTCACTCAAGATTAAACTGACACAACTTGGCGACAATCATCCAAGTATTGCTACAACATATCACAACATTGGTCGTGTCTATAATCGTCAAGGCAAGTATGATGACGCTCTATCAATGTTTAACAAGTCTCTCAAAATGAAACTGACGCAACTTGGCAACAATCATCCAAGTATTGCTAATACATATAACAACATTGCAAGTGTCTATGATAATCAAGGCAAGTATGATGACGCTCTATTAATGTATAACAAGTCACTCAAGATTAATCTAACACAACTTGGCGACAATCATCCAAGTATTACTACAACATATAACAATATTGGTCTTGTCTATGATCATCAAGGCAAGTATGACGACGCTCTATCAATGTATAACAAGTCACTCAAGATTCGACAAACACAACTTGGCGACAATCATCCGAGTATTGCTGATACATATCACAACATTGCAAGTGTCTATGATATTCAAGGCAAGTATGATGACGCTCTATCAATGTATAACAAGTCACTCAAGATTGATCTGACACAACTTGGCGACAATCATCCAAGTATTGCTGATACATATAACAACATTGCAAGTGTCTATAATCATCAAGGCAAGTATGATGACGCTCTATCAATGTATAATAAATCGCTCAAGATTAATCTGACACAACTTGGCGACAATCATCCAAGTATTGCTACAACATATCACAACATTGCAAATGTCTATCATCATCAAGGCAAGTATGATGACGCTCTATCAATGTATAACAAGTCACTCAAGATTAAACTGACACAACTTGGCGACAATCATCCAAGTATTGCTATAACATATTGCAACATTGGTCATGTCTATAGCGATCAAAGCAAGCATACAGAAGCTATTTCTATGTATAAGCAATCCCTTAAGATTCAATTATCAGTTTTGGGTCGCAATCATCCTGATGTGGCAAAGTCGTATAGCGGTCTAGGAAATGTATATCTTGCTGAAGGCAAGCATGAAGAAGCTATTTCTATGTACGAGCAATCCTATAACATTCTATTATCAGTTTTGGGTCACAACCATCCTGATGTCGCAAAGTCATATAACAATCTAAGAAATGTATATCAAGCTGAAGGTAAGCGTGAAGAAGCTATTTCTACGAATAAGAAATCACTCAAAGAGAAACAAGAGGAACAAGAGAAGCAAGAAAAGCAAGAGGAGAAACAAGAGGAGCATGAGAAGCAAGAAGAGCAAGAGGAGAAGCTAAAGAAGCAAGGGGGAAAAAGGGAGCAAGAGGAAAAAGAGAAGCAAAAGGAGCTAGAGGAGCAAGAGAAGCGAGAAAAGCAAGAGAAGCAAGAAGAGCAAGGGGAAAAAAGGCATCAAGAGGAGCTAGAGGAGAAAGAGAAACAAAAGGAGCAAGAGAAGCAAGAGAAGCAAGAAAAGCAAGAAAAGCAAGAGAAACACGAGAAGCAAGAAGAGGAAGATGAGTTAGCAGGTACCATTGAGCGTTTTGTAAGGTGTTTGATTAGATATTTGCTTTAGGTATTCTGCTTTTCATTATAATTACAGCACTAACAGCACAATACGACACCATACTGAAGTATTGCAGTCGGTAAACAACATGTCCACCAAGTATTTCTTAAAGTATAGGCGTTTCAACCCTGTTCAATTCTAAGTCGGTCTATTAGTCTAATAAGATCGAATAGATCGCGAAAATCGTTCAATGACAAACCTATTGTAGTAGTAGTGTGTAGTACAGCCCCAATATAACTTAAACAGTGATTCTAAGGTGGTATGAGTATTCGTGCTAGTAGTTATAATATTGTTACAGTTTGGTATATCGTGATGAGATGGAGCTGGGATTAACTCACGAGGTACTCCGACTCTCGGATAGCTGATATATTCGACCTACTGACTCACAACAACTTGGTGATCTTCGGTTAAGCATAGTAATGCTTTATTTCTCTATTCTCTAAACTGCCCATAACCTCGAGCTAAGAATAACGCAATGTACGTAAATCCTAAGTTAATACCTGGCCATACAGGACTTATAATCTCTGAAGAGAAATTCAATTTACTAATCGTTCACGCTCAACTATGAGCTCTGAGCAAACAACTTTGCCAAATACTTGAATACTATACTATTTAAATACAAGTATCCGTAATGGTAATTGTGAGACTGATACGTCCCTTTACGCGAAATTTACATTCTAAACTCTACGCGATTACAAAACTAAGACTAGAAAAAGTATAGATTGCAGTAGTTATTAGAGATGCTGTATTAGGTAACCTTAACACCTTAACATACGCAAGTAACGAAATCCTAGGCTAACTAAGATAGATGTTGATCTCTGTATCCTGATGATACTTTGCAACTAAATGTACATATAAGCAGGAGATTTCGTCTTTGAAGTTAGTTAGTCGTAGCTAATCTGGTCCTTGGTGGAAGATGTAATTTATTCTCAAGATACGGAAGTCTTTGCTTAAAGTTAGACGCTTTATCACACAGTGATGCTATTACAAATTAATATCATATAGAGTTCAATGAAGTTAGTAACTTTATTGCAGTAGAAACGAGATTGCATCTGGGCTGTAGAATCGACAAGAACTATTTACTGCTGAACCTTATCAAAATTATCAAAAATTATCAAAAATAGAATAAACGTTTCGTTTTAGTTAAGAATGTTGCACAAAATG